TATAATTTATATAATAAATTGGTCAGTCAGCATGGTGACTGACTCCAGAGATGACTATATTAGAGTTAGAACAGTATTTTGAGAAGCATGGATGTAAGGCATGGAATCCCAAGGAATATCTGAATTTTAAAATGGTATCTCCCCGCGACACACCAAATGAAATGTGTAGTGGTAATGATTCTAATGTATACATTTGTTTTAAAAAAATCAAAGTTTTTATTTGCAAATCTAATGAGTTTTGCCTATGACATTGCTTTCGTGGTGACTGTGTGATCTGTCATTGTTCAGAAAGTTACACAGCGCAAAGAACATATCATTGAGATGTATAATGTTTGTAATCCTGCTCTCAGATTGATAAATTATGTCATGTGTTGATGAAAGCCAAGAAATGAATTGCTTTACTTTGACCTTGGGGGTCTGAGATTAGTCGGTTTGCCTATTAGACTTGTTTCGGTGTTCTTCTCACTTCATTTATTCCTTCTGTTCTGAAGAGTTGGAAGTAGTAGACTTGGAGGAAGTCAGTAAAGCTTGATATCATCAGTCATTTTTGAAGAGCAGGCTATCAACATGCTCTGAATAATCAACTTTAATAGAAGGTTTAAATAATCAGAGTGTCATGTTTAATTAATACTCTGCCTGCTGCCAATTTATATTAATTGATGCCTGAAAGTCATTGCACCTTGTACCGATGATAACTTAGAAGAGAACCTTGGTTTGGGAAAAATGCCCGAAGACCGTTAAGGCAACGTGATCGATCAGACTGGTTCATAAATGGTCCGCAGTTATGTCAATTTGCATTCAGCTCAGATGTTGCAGTCTTAAATTCTCAGTATATGTGTTTTTATCCTTTTTGACTTGTGTTAAGCCAGAGTAAAGGCATTTCTAATGATGTTATATGGTTTCATAAGGTCTGTAGCTTATAGGACATATAAAACTGTTGACCTGATTAAAAACACAGCAAAATAAAACAACTTAAAAACCTTGCTGAAATGTGCTGCAGCAGAGTTGCGTGACAAAATATTAGAGGTTGATTTGACATCTTTGATTCTGCATTTTGGCATTTTAAGGATGCACTTTTTGATGAGAGACGAATCTTTTTTATAACTTTCTAACTTAAGAGTTGCTAGAAAATAGCATATAACATCTTGATTAGGTTATGTGCAGACTATAGCAACATTATATTTTGTGCTATTTTTTAATCCAAAGTAATGTTAT